AAAACATAGTAGATATAAAATAATTGATTTTTTATTTATAAAAAAGGATTAATTATACTTTAATGCATGTGCAATTAGACTTTGAAAATTTACAATCCTTACTATTTGCCTTATGTGATGATCGTAAATATGTCAAACCTATATATATTTAATCCCTTTCTCCGTCATTATATATATAGCATCCTGAAGATTATTATCAAATACGATAATTAAGATTTGAAACCTACCAAAACCAATCTCTCTTAGCATGAGATTCACCAAACAAAATTAGAACATCATATAAATTAAACGTAGGGCAATGTCATAGTATAGTATTAGATTGGCACCGGATATACAACTAAATAAGTGTACATAAACTAATGCTCAAACTAAATCACAATTATCATAACATATACCAACAAGGATCCATCACCAAAATCATGCCATATGAACCGAATTAATATCATATCACAATGGACTATAAAATGTCATTTGAGCGCATGCATGAATATTCTTATCACAACATCATTGGTTGAATTAATATTAAAAATATATAGACAACCAAATTAGCAACCGAACGCTGAAATAGTAAAATAAATAAATAGAATTACTTCATATGCATGTATATAATGAAGAGGAAAAAATGAAAAGTATTCAGTATATATTTTTAAAAAGTGTGATATTAATTTTTAGAGAAAGAAACAGCCAGAAAATTTTAGAGGGAGAAAATTAAACAATAATTTTAAAAATTTTAGAGAGAAAATTGTTTTAAAAATTAGAGAGGAAGAAAGATAAATTTAAAAGAAATATTAATTTTTAGAGATATAAAATTATTTAATTTTTTATTTTTTGCAAAAAATAAATTTAAAGAGAAACCATTGTTTTACATAAAACTTTGTTTTTTGTATTATTATATATATATATATATAAAGATAAAAGGGCAATAATATAGTTTACAATGAATAATCCTCCCATTATCCTTTCCTTTTAATATTAAACATACCCCTGCCATGTCCTTCTTTCTCATCCCTCTCAAATCCTTTATTTTCTTCTCCATTTAAACTCTCAAATATAACTTAAAATAAATAGCTGTGTCAAAAACAAATTATTTCGTCATTCTGAAAACTAAAATATATAGTAATTTTTACAAGTTCAGCCCAGTAATTTTCATTAAGAACTGTAATGTTTTTTAGGCCAAAACCTTAATTCATTAAATTGGGGAAGAAACAAAATCTGCTGAAAAGGCTAACTCCACAATTGGGATGGACTTTTAATAAGATCCGACAATTGGAATCACTATTTTTTCCATACTTAAGATGTGTTTTAAAAGAGAACGATTTAGAACTGCTATATTTTATAGCACAAAACGGATATTGAATATTTTTTAGTGCAATAAATAATTATTAATTCAGAAAAAAAAATTGAAAACCAGCAAAAGATATTTTAAAAATCCATAAACCAAAAAACTCACCAATCGTATCGACATTAATATTCTCCATCTCTTGAGGTACCTATACCTCTCGTGTCAATTTCGATCTCGTTGTTAGCAATGGGTTTCATACGTACTGGTTTACTTTATTCATAATTATTGCATTAGAGTATAGCATTTTCTAGCGATCATGTCTCCTAAGGTAATCTTACTGCAAAGTTATAACGAATAATATCTCAGATTGAGATTGTGCTAATCTGATACTGTTTGATAAAAGAATGGGATAAAGTGATTGTACAATTAGAACTCTATAAGGTAAAAATACTTTGTACGTTACCATATTTTTGGTAAATTTTAAATGCTTTTATAGTTTAAGAGTTTGTAATTGAGTTTTTATACTTTCAAAACTTTTTAAATAAATTTTTACTTATTTAATTTTTTTTCTCACCCAGTTTAATTTGAATCTAATCTAAGTCACACATCTGGATGTGTAGTAGGTAAGTTTACTTTTACATATACAAAAACTTAAATTCAAGACTTTACTTAAGTTACACCAAGCTACTTGCCACCTAAACCAATCTCTATTAGTATTTTTACTTGTTTATTAGGTATTTATTTTGTTAAATTATAATAAATAAATATTTAAAAATTATATGCAGATCTATGGCAAACAAACAACAATTAAAAATGTTAATATGATTAATTTAATGTTTTAATAAATCTTTCTAATTTACAACTTTAATGATATCATTAATAAGTAAGGACTTATATATATGAATTTTTAAAAATAAGAACTTAATTAGAAACTTTTAAATTTAAAACTTAAAAAACTATAAAGATATAGGATATAATATAAACATTATATAACGATAGAGTATACGCTTAATTTAGATAAATTTATCTATAAGTACTTGCAAAAGTGAAAAAAAATTAGTAATAAAATGAATCAAACTTTTTTTATAGCATAAACTTAATTATGCTTTTTTTATTTAATTTCTTTAAATTTAGGAAATATAAACTATTTTTAACTTATAAAAAAATATTGTTTTTTTATTCTGATCTATAAAAAATTATTTAAATAGAGTCATATTCGTAATGTTTTTTGGATGGTTAATAAGGAGACAAAGAGGTGGGAGTGACGTGGAATTGGTGCTGGATAGATAGCATAGGTTGGCCAAGTGCTAGTCATCAAAAGCAATATGAATCCCATAAATCACATATTAATGTTTATATCTAGCAATGCACTTTATGCTGGTTTTTGTGCAATCTGCTGTGTGCACCAAATAGGGAATGTTCCCTGCACATGATGATCTTATCCTTGTGTACGGACGAGTTTAATACTATTAGGTTTCAGTGGGGGAATAACTTTTGGAACTGTCCGATGTAAACATAATATAAGGTTTTGTTAAAAAGAGCATTAATGACAATAAAATTAATAAATTCAATTAGAAGAAAGATTAAGATTTTGAATCCTCCAAGGAATGCTACATAAACAACACCTTATAGCATGGCATATAGCTCTTAAAAGGATGTCAATACCAATGCAGCCCTACATGTACAACGATAGGCTGTGATCAATTTAAGTATAAGATGCGTGTTATGATTTGATAGGACCCAAAAAGCTGAAGAACAATTGGGCAACCCAAGATTCTGAAATGATATTAAGGGACATCATGTTTGACAACTGGGATAAGGAATGAAAAAGAAGTGGGAAAATGTTAGCTCACATGCTTTTATTTGAGAGGTAATGGATTCCACGTATTGATCCTCCAAATTGAATTAGGATTGAGTTCCGTTCTGTCTACTAATCAAGGTGATTAGTGATATATAAAAATTTCATGGTGCTGTGAAAAAGAAAGGTCTCATTAATAAATTATAGACAGTGCTGACAAAATTATGCCCATTAGACATTGAGTGTTGATCCGTGATTTGCCGAGTTTGAACATGGATGAAGTTGCCAGACAAAAGAAAGATTGCGTTTGTCTAAAGTTAAGCGTTTTAATCAATGCATTTGATCACTATCTTTTTAATCATAAAGCTCTTTTCTTTTTCTTTCATAAAGCTTGGATATTGTTGTTTGGTGTGTGAAGGATAATATATAAAATTATTGTATATATATATATATTATAACGAATACTGTTGTTAATATAATTTTAGATTTCGTTAAAAAAACATTTTAAAAACATTGATTAAATAATTTAAAATGTATTTTTTAAATCATGACATTAATTATTTTGGTAAATTTTAAACCATAAGACTTTTAATTTTTTATGTCACATAATTTAAGAGGGAATTTGGTATTTAGAATTTTTCTTTATTTTTAAGAAGTATGTTTCACAGAAATACTATAAATGTGTTTTGTATTAAAAGATTCCTGAATGTTAGTTTTTTTCATAATGTTTTCAAATATTCACAAAAAATATAACTTTTTTAATTTAAGATTCTTGAAAAATTTAGAAGAATATCTCTACTAATTGAGTTATATACTAAAACTAAGAAATATATCTAATGTTCTTGCTTTTTATTAAAATTGTCATATCTAATTTCTTGTTATACCCTTTTAATTCTTTCACTAATAAATTTTTTATTTTACAATTGATAGAAAATAATTAATGTTGTTTGGAATTTATAAGAGTGACATATAAATATGAATAAAATTTTTCTAAAAAACATGATATATATATATATATATATATATATATAGGATTGAAGGGAATATTAAATGTTTAACTTTAGATTACAAATTCTTATTTTAAATTTTTTAATCAACGTCTTAAAAGTAATAGTTAATATTCTTTAAAAAAATATTTGTAATTTTTGTTATGTATCCATAAACAATTAATAGATCACATTTGCAAGAATCCAAAGAAAGGCCCAAAGAAAACGAGTGTGGGTTTCCTTATATTCCTTTAGCAGACACTATTTCCGTCCACCAAAACCAAAACCGTATTGGGAGCTTTCGATCGCGTATTTACCAATTCAAGATCAATCAAGGACAACGAAAATGGTAAAACTTCAATTTGTTAATAAAAAACAACTTCAATTTCAGATTAAATTGATTTTACGCTTGCATAGTAGTAGTAAAGTCACTTTTAAAATCCATATTAAAAAAAGTCCCTTTTAGATATATAACGAATATTGGACTAATTAAAAAACACTGAATAAGAAGGGGTTGACCTTTTTATTTATTTAAAAGATAATTTTATTTGATTTAAAAATATTTACAATATAGTAAGGTTAGTTTTTTTAGCAAAAATTTCTCCTATACACAATACTTAAATATGAGACTTTGTTTAAAGAAAGTCAAGCATGTACTATCTGAATCAACTATTAGTTCGAGTATGACATTTTTATTTGATATTATTAAAATAGTAATATAATATTAAATTAAAACATATTCTATCGCTATCTCTCTCTATTTATATTTATATAATATAAACTGTCGAAATTTCCACAAAGCTACCTCTAAGCTGCACCTATATGGTCCGAAATTTTCTAATGCTATTTTTGTTTTAATATAAGGACATTGTTTCGGATAAGATTGACCCACCCTACTCTGAAATCGTTTGGTGGTCTGTAGGGAACCCTCATTTCCTAGGTAAAATGACCATCCAATTAAGGAGTTAGGATTGTATTTAAAAAATAAAAACTTTTTTTGAGCTTTCTTAATATTATTCCAGCTTACCAAATATTATGAAATGCAAAAGATAGTAATGGGCTTTTTGTAGTAAAACAATGATGGGGTTTTACAGTAATATAATGATTGGACCTAAATAGCATTTATTCATTATAGGCTACAAATAATGTTTGTGTCATGGGTCATAACGATATTACACACTGGTTACAGACCATATTTGACAGTAGACGAAAAGGCAAGTTATCCACTGTCCGTTAAGGGATGGGATAGAAGGTAAGATTATGGCCCATTCCAAACCCAATAGTTCCCCTCTGCACCTGAGTTAAAAGAATATATATACACTAAAAAGCATGTTAAAAGGTGTTAAAGAATGTGTAAAGAGCATGTTACTGGATTCTCATATTTTGCAACGTTGTCACAAAATCAGCATTTAAGCCTGTCAATTCCTTTTGGGTATCATAGGTACCATAGCAACTTCAGAGGTGGCAGATATACATTAACTGTTTCGATAAAATGCATCTCAACAAATAATGCAACACTTGTTCTTGTTCCTATAGAGCTTTCCAGGTGTTGTTCTCTATTTCATTTTCTTCCAAAGAAATGAATTCTCTCTGCAACTTCTATTACGGTCGTGAAGCATATAGACCCTTCCTTGCACAGACATGAAACAGAAGCATAAAAAAATATGCTTTGTACAGGTTAAACATGTTTTTCAAACGGATTTGAATCTACTCGTGTTGAACACAATAGAGTCATTTTGGATACAGAAAGACAATTTTTATCAAATAAAGGCCCACCTTGATCGGTTATTGATCATACTAACTAAAATTGATAAAAATTGTGTCTTTCTCTATACATTATGGCCATATCATATTACTTAATAAGAAAATATAAATCCTTCTCAAATGCCATGCGACACATGTAGCCAACACGGACGCAACGAATTCCTTAGGAGGGTTATGGCAAACATTATTTTCTTATTATTAGAAACAAATACAATAATGCAACTTGTTTCGGTCTTTACCTTGACCTAGTCTGAGATCAAGATCTGTAACAACATGGAGATACCCACAAAAGTAATACCATTTTCAACGCAATGCAATAAGAAACAATCGTGATATCACACCAAAGATTTTATCAATGGCATGAGCATTTAGGACAATAACGGATACACACAAGATCTTGTTCGAATTCGTTATAGCAATAGGCCAATTGCAAAACTAATAAACAGAAAACAAGACACCGAGGAGAGATCGCAGTTCTAACAATGGTAAGTTATGCCATACATCTAACTATATTGAATTAATTTAACTTATATTTATCTCGTAACATTTCTGGTCATTTACAACTATCATTTTACCTCTAATAAGCCAGCTCAAAGCCTTTAGCAATACTTATAAAGCATAACCTTGTATATCTAAGTAATTTGTTACTAAATCTGCACAAGCCTATAAACATATAGCAAAACATGATTTTATGAGAACTAGTATACGAACTACAAACAGGAGCAATCTCTCAAAATATAGGACATAAACACTTGAATCACCATGCATAGTTAATTCACAATTAACATGATATTTTGCGTACACAAGTTATATGTGAGCGAGTTTAGTTGGTAAAATGCTTCCTGTCTAGGTAATCCACAATTTCGATACCACAGATGCATTATTCTTAAATGCCCCAAACCCACAACTATGTTTCTTCTAAATAACTTAAAATGGATATTTCACCATGTTCGAGGTATATTCGCGATAACTTTAACTAATGAAAATAGCTAATACAAGATTGACATGGTTTTTTCATCTGCATCATCATTCAGAATTTTGATGGGTTGACGGTGTCACAATTTGGCATTCTTAATTATTATTCTTATACATACTACTCCAATAAAATTGTGCAAATATTGGAGAACTATATACGATCCGTGTTTCGTGTAAAATAATATAGATGTGAAGAAATGAATGGATTTGATAACTAATAATGGTGAATCAACCACCCAACAAAATATTAAAAGCAACACTACTACGCAGGTCTAAGAAGCATTTCCACAGTAGTCTGAACCATCACCACAGACAGAAAATTTTAAAGATCCAGTACCTAACTGCGATTACTAGGGTTAGGACGAACTAGATTTAAGCAAATTTCAATTTCAATCGCACCTGCATGAATCAGACACCAGAAAATAGATCCAAAATATGGTTAATGCAATTAGTAACATAACAAGCATTTTTGCTACGGCCTCCAGATATCATAGAAATTATGGAATTATGGGTGAATGATGTGTACAGCTATCAATTGATGTGTGTAACATCAATCCTCATACAAGCATCAACTTAATCCGTCGCAAGGTACCTATAATGGACTTAGAATTTCTCTATTGCAGAAAAAGACTGCCTACATGGTAATGTGATTTGGCAGTTGAGTCGCAACTCATGATTACGCCTAACAATTAAGAATTTCTGCTCTAATTTGAATAAACATCTCAATAAGTAATTATAAAGAAAAAAGATAAGTAAAATAAATCAAATCAACTGTTTGAGAAGGTTTTTCATCTAATTTCTCCAAAAAGTTATATGCATAAGTTTTAATTAGTGAGAAAATTTTAATTTATTATACCTTATGTTTTCTCCTATAAATGCTTATTGGAAAGTTTAACTAAATTGGTCCTTATCTATAGTTTCAAGCTCAAACTCTTCTTCATCAAGCATTGAGCATCTACATCCTCCATAGTTAGAATTTCAGAAAATAAAATAAATAAACAACCATTTTTTTTTATTGATTCAATCGATAGAGCACTATTGTTTTTCCATGAAGTTTTGATAGTTATAACAACGGGGAAAGAAAAAATAAAAGCATTCTTTCATTTTCAGTTTTGGAATCCATGCAGTCTCGTGTCATAATAATTCAATCATTGACAATACAGGTAGAGAAACTATTATGGTCGCATGCTAGATTTGCAACAAGTAATAAATGAAATGGTTATATACCACTTTCCAGGCTAGGGAAAGCTCAAAATACATAGTCCAAGAATTTAAATGGAAAATTGGATTGCTAAATAATCCAATATTGATAAACAACTTCTGGAAATTATTCCATCCTTCAAGCTAAGAAAACTTATGATCATGAAAATCAAATATCTAATTGTGTGTTCTTAAAAAAAAAAAAAAAAAAAACAACACCAATAACCTACATTTGTGTTGGAAATTCAATTATTTAACCTATTCCTGTGCTACATGATACCAAGCTTTGAAAATTTTCATGTAAATGTAAATGGGGGAAGATACCAATTTCAATGGAACAAAATAGAAACTGAAATTTTTAATATAAAAATAAAAGACTGAAGAGCTCCTTCCTAGAAACTTTTCAGCCAATCTTGAGTAATATCTGAATCTCCTCCCCATCCTCCCCCACCTTTGAAAGGAAAATATCACAGAAAAAGAAGGGGGAAAATACCAATTAGCAAGAATCCTGTGTCAATGGATGAATCAACGTTGTGCAACTCATCAGATCTGAAGCATCAAAATGTGTGACTTTTCACAATTCAATTCTTCAGCATCCCATCACAGCACAATTATAGACGAAATTGCCAGACCGTTTTCTGGCAAGTAGATTCCATTGTGGAGGTGCTTCACTAGGCACCCATGAATTGAGTTCAATAAAACCCTCACCATGAGTCCTAGGCCCACCAATGACAATAAGCCTATTTCCACATGCCCTGAATGCAAGACCCCAACCATTCATTGACACGGCTCGCTCAGGCAGTCTCCCAATGGTAAACCACAATCTTCTGTCCTTATCATATTTTTTTACCTCCATGTCAGCATAATCAGCAGCATATAATTCATCATTTACAACGGCAACCAGAGGTGGTGCCTCAGCTGTTGCAGGCATCTCAGATCCCCTAGCACATCTTCCTGGGGACATGTTAGGAATTTCTGTCCACGTTCTAGTCTGTAAATTATACTCCTCACCACATGTAAGAAGCTTAGAATCACTTCCACCGATTCCCCCAATAACGTAAAACTTCCCATCCATAAATACCCCCGAGCACATCTTCCTGGGCTTGTTCATGCGTGGAAGTGTTTCCCATGTTTGATTCTCTGAATTGTATAGCTCAGCCGAGTCAAGGATATGACCATCTGAATCACACCCACCAGCTAAAATTGCAATCTCCCCAAGGCTAGCAGATCCAAACAAACATCTAGGAGCATTCATCCTCATTCCAGATGACCATGAGTTGGTCAAAAGACTGTATCTATAAATGACATGGGATCTCAGCTCCCTACCAAATACAAGAAGTTCAGTACCTACAGCTAAGGACTCCTTATCCGAACACATAAAGCATTCATTAGAAGCCATCCTTGGTAAATGCATCCACCTTTCGCGAATTGGATCATAGGCCTCCCATTCAAGGAGGGCACAAGAAAAATAAATCCAGTGTTCTATGATACCATTCAGTCTCCTCCATCTATATAGCTCACCATTTCTGATTATGTTGCGAAAGCTCCTATTCAGCGATGCCAGAGAACCATAATCGGACCTAGAACAGCGGCTGAGACAGGCAATTGAGCTGTCCCGATTCATGCGGGGCAAAAGAGAACCAGAATCTGATGAATCCCCAGCATGGTGCTCTTGCTGCTCATCAGGTGGCTGGTCACTGGCGGCCAACAAATTACCCTCAATCTGCAGCTCCATCTGCTGTTCATCGGATTGCTGAACATCAGAATCCGATAAATCCCCAGATTGATCCTGCTGCTGTTTATTAGATTGAAAGTCACCAGACACCAAAGAATCCCCAGCATGATGCTGTGCTCGTTCATCCAGTAGCTGGGCAGGAAAAGCCTCAGCCTTTTCAACACTTGGGCAATTACTCAATGTCTCACAATCCTCCCTCTGATCCTGATCCATTTGTGGAACAACAGAATCATCGGCATGAAAGGATTGCTGTTGAGCTAAAATTCGAGCCATATCGCCTTGATGGCAAGAATCCAATCGCCTGTTAACCTTCCTTGGCTGGGGTTCATCCTCGCCATCGATGTCTAAAGGGCGCTTGCCATTTTTTATGTCCAAGTCCGGCAGGAATGTCATGAAAGACCACTTGTTCTCCGCCTGGCAAGAGCTGGAAAACAACCTCGGAACCACGCAGGAACGACCGTCCAACATAGTCTCCGCGGCAAGGCAGAAGCTGCAACTACAACAAGCACTCAACCTTCAATCCCGCGCTTCCTTCTGTCTTTGTCAGAAGTGACAAATTCAACAGCACAGAGCCACAACAACTCCCCAGAACCACAGTCAAAATCAAAAAGCCTGTTAACGTAGAATTAATCGAAATCAAATTTAGTTCACAAGTTCCATTTTATTTCTCTCCCTCATAACCTTTTTCTCAGGAACAACAAATCTTCTTCGAAATTTAAATGCCCAAAAACACCAACACCAAAAAAAAACACGATTACAGATCGAAATCCATTCAAACTCACTTTTTTTTTTCATTAACAAAGATAAAGCCCCTGATTAGATTAAAGGGAAAAATGTCTCGAGCGGAACCAAACTCACAGAGAGAGATCCCGATAAGCAAAGCACCATAGATAACAGGGAACTTCAATTGAATCAGACGCAACACAATAAATGAATCTAACATTTCAATGCACAAAGAAAAAAAAAACAATTTTGAGCAAAACCCATTAATCATTCTCCTCAGAATTCAACAAAAGGCAAAATTTAGCTAGATCTCAATAAATCTACAATCTTCAGTGATAGCCAACACCATAGCAAACAAACCAGCCCATTCATAAGAAAGCTAGAAAAGCATAGAGAGAAAAAAGAAAGAAAGAAAAAACAATAATGCTAGAGACTTACGGGTTGGGTATGAAGAGCAAAATCGAAAAAACAACAGAAGTACTTGATGGGGCAAATTGAACAACAATCTTCAACTCCTTCTTTCTCTATCTCAAGCACACTGTTTTGCATGTACCCTCTCTCTCTCACACGCACGCACGCACACACACAGAAAGAGAAAAAAAAAAAAAAGAGAGAGAGAGAGAGAGAGAAAGAAAGACCCACTTTCTCTCTCTACCCAGCTCTTTGAAGTTCTTGGTTCTGGTTGGTCCTTTCTTGGGTTAGTCTCTGCAAATCAGATGAAGGAAGGTTTTGGAGCAAAATCTGAGAGAGGACCCCTCACATGGCCTTATCTCCCTTAAATCATATCTTAATTTATAATAATTAAATATTCCTTAATTTCATTTCTTTCTTATTACTATTAATTAACTAATTAAACATTATTCTCTGTGGTTTTTTGTTTTTTTAAATTGTGTGTGTTTTTGGGTTGTGCAAAATTTGACGAAGGTGGTGGTGGTAGGACCTACAAAAGGTTCGCCGGTGACCGGTTACCGATAACCGCCGGTGGAGACACGTGTTGACTAGTGAGGTGGAGGAGGATGAAGTGTTTTTTTCTCTGTTTGCCTCTGACTTGAATCGAAATTCTTTTTAGAAAATGAAAAATGAAAAAGTTAGAGAGAGAAAAAGACTCCTCCGTTTTCGTTGCCCCTACGTCTCTAGTTACGCCGTTGGATTCTTATTCCAAATTCTCGGCTGGTCAATTTCTCGTGCCAGGGGAAGAATCTGGTGCGGCGCGGGTGTAATAAACATTGCTTTGGTTAGTTTGGTTGGTTAATCATGACAAAGTAACACCTTAGATTTTACCCTCAAACATCCACATATGTGACTTTTGACCGGTCAATTTTCATTATCATTGTTGTTATTAGACTTGTTTTTAATAAAAGCATTTGTTTTAAGAAAAAACATTATTTAAACTAATTTATACATAATAAGTATACTTCAATTATATTTAATGATTCAAATAAAGTTTATTAAAATTAATTTTAGATCAAATGAATAAATTATTGATATTACTTTTCACACACTGTAAGAAGAAAGAAATAATATTTACTTAACTGTTGGGATAATGTTGTTAACTATAGTGATGATTATGATTATTACTACCAAACACGGCTGAATCATGGCTAAGTCAAAAAAGCATGTTGTGCAGGTTTTCAATTTCCGCTTGCGTTTTCGGCTGGGGTTCTCCCTCCTCTTAGCCTCCTTTTTACGCTGTGTTTGATCCTTTGATGCGACATATATCTATTCTATTGTCCTTTTTATATATCTTTATATCCAAATATTATTTTATAATACATGTAATACCTCTACCTTATGTTATCTTACTGTTGTATGTGACGGGTTATTTATTCAAGGCCTATGGGTGCAAACGTATGATCTTAAAATTGCTCATTTGTTGTGTTTATATGGATAACTAGCCAAGTCTTGAATTTGATTGGTATAGCTCAAGTAATTGGAAAATGTTGTAACTCCCGCTATCGGACATATCACAAAATTAATATTTTTTATGTTATTTTTCACAATAAAACAGATAAGCACTGATTTGATTTTTCAAATTATTTTTCGTAGTTGAAATTCAAAATATAAAATAGATACAATTTATGGCGCAGTATAAAGTAGATGGAAGGAAAGACACTGCTTTGACACGCATTAGACGTTCAGGCGGGGACACCAGCGCAAATCAACATGAACTGTGTAGAGATTCCCTAATCATATCAGACTTTTAATTATAGTTTCAATAGTCATTACTCCCAATCTAATATCTAATCTTGTAGGCTTTGATAGGCCTAACTTTGGCACTTTAGCGCCTATCAGCCTTGAATTATAATCATCATCTTCAACACACCTTTTGTTTCTTCACCTCCTTTTCTGTTTTCTATGTGATCATCACAAGTGCTAGCTTGGTCGGCATTTGCACATAATCACAACAGTTATCAATCCTAATCATCTCAAGCTTCTTCTGTTTCACACACCAATATGATTACATTGTAGTTTGTCTCTCCTATGTTTTCAATTTTTTTCCATATTTAGCAATTGTGATCTAACATACTTGCTTGGTTTAAGAGCATAATTTTGACACATTGTTATCAAAAAATTTCACCCAAACAGTTATGATTTACAAATATTCAAGTAGTATTAACAATTATTTAACATTATTTTGTATTTTTCTTTTTCTGTCACATTGTTTATTCTTTTATATATATATATATAATGATTCTCTCCTAATTAATAACTCTCATATCTTTTGTAGTTTCAAATCAATTTTAATTAATAAGTAAAAATATGTTAGAAAAAAATTCTTAACACTTATTGTCTCTACAATTATCTATAAAACGTTTTTTTTTAAATAAATTTACAATATGTCCAATGATATATTTTAATAAATCAAAAAACAGTAATTTTCACTAAAAAAAAAAAACTATTCATTGAATGTTATTTTTAATTATATAATAGTAATAAATCAAAAAATTAGTAATTTTAATAAAACTCATAGTTTAAATACAAAAACTACGGCAATTTTGTTGTGGTTGTGCCACAACGGTACCGCTCACCTCCTTGTTTAGATATTTTTCTTTAATAGAAATTACTCATTGCTCAATAAAGTAATTATATACTTATTTAAAAAATAGAGATATAAAAAAAATAGATATAATAAATAATATCATATATATATATATATATATATATATATAAGTGGAAAATAACTAAAGATTTTTATTTATTAATAATATCACTTTCTTAATGAATTAGTTGTAATGAAATTAATGAACATATACGGAAAAAAAGTAACTTTTATTAATATAATCTTACTAATAAAAATATGATTAATATAAATATTATGAATTTGTATTAATTACATAATATTATATATTAAGAAATAATCTTATTCGTATAGAGTATTAGTGTGTAAGATAAATACAAATTATATTATTAGTGTAAACTTTTAAAATTGATATTAATAATTTAATATTTTAGATAAAACTTATATTAACACATCATAAAAAGATTTTCTTTTATTTATAAATTATTTCTCGCTCAAACAAAATTACTTCTTATAAAAAAAAATACATATAATTTGTATCACAAAAAATATACTAAAACAATTATATATATATATATATATATATATATATATGCCAAAATAATTTTGTATTTGGATCTATTTTAGTAGTTTAATTTTAAAAATATTTTAATAACTTCTTTTTAAATGTTAAGTCTGTTAATTGAATTTTTTTTTTGTCGTGTATTATCTATGTATTATTTATCTTTTTTTTTTATGTTTCTATTTTTCTTCTTCTTTTCTACTTATTCTTTTTTTTTTTTCTGTTTTTCCTTCATCTTCTTCATAAGTATTATTGTTGGCTGTGATAATTGTAATGTTTTCTTTTTCTTTAAGTGATGACAATATTATCTCAATTTTGTGATATTTTATTAAAGAGTAAAAGAAAAAGAGAGTGAAAAAGAATAAAAGGGATAAAAAGAATAAGATAAAAATAAGAGGTGAAAAAAATATAAACAATAGAAAAGATAAAATAATTTAACAAAGTTAACACTTTATAATAAATAAAATATATTGAAATAAATTTTATTCAAGTCGAATAAGATCAATAATAAACGATTGGATTTAATATAATTCTTCGAGAATGGATTGTTTAAAATTTTTATAAAATTATTTTATTTTTAATAATATTTTAAGATATTTGAACAAGTTTATTTAAAACTTATGAAATTAATAAGAGCTAGTAATTTTTCATAAACTAAAAAAGGTTAACTCTAAAAAAAACTAAAAAAAGTTATACTACAAAACATTTTAAACTTATAAAATATAAATAAATCTAATAAAAAATTATCAAAACATTAGATTTTAAATAATTAAAAAAATTCAAATGTCAGAAGAAATTAAAGAACATTTTTAATTAAAAGACTTTTTTTAAAAGAAAATACAAACAAATCGATCAGAAATTGTGAATTTATGATAAAATAGGTTAACCATTTTATTTGATAATCAAGTTTCTCACTAAAGAAAAGAAAAGGATAAGAAAATATGAGATTTTTACTCAAATCAAGAAAAATATTTTTTTATAAAAGCATATGTATATATAAATATTAAAAAAATTATTTCATTAAATAATAAAAGACATATTTATTGATAAATGATTAAATTATATAATATAAATTACATTACTTTTATATTATTATTAATTACGTAATATAAAATATAATTTTTATTTATCTAATCGTTAAATTATAATTATATATTATATTGACTCAAGACCATGAATTCACTTTTCGTAAAAGAAAGAAAACATAAATGTAATAAATTAAAAGAGAAGGAACAAAAATGCAAAGTGGTGATCAGTAATTATGAAGAGTTTGACGAAGTGGGGTTTCTTAACAAACAGCTAGCATATTTTTCTGTATAAAACGCGCAGGGTGGTGTAATTAAGAATTGGTTATTATAATGAAAAATTGGAAAAAAAAAAAAAAAGGGAAAAAGAGAGTATAGAAATGAATAAAAGTGTACTTGAAGAAAAGAACTTAAATGCGGCAACAAGTCTCCAAAAACAATCACATGGCTTATAAGAGAAGATGGCAAAATGAAATATAAAAAAGAGGAAAGAAAAACAAAACAGGTGAGCTGTGAATGGAGATGATGCCCCAATCCAAACTATTCGTTGGAGTCAGCTCATCAATGTATCTATGCCCTTCCAAAACCCCCCCTCTCTCGCATTCTGTCACTCATCCCCACTCCCCTTCTCTCCTCACTCTCACCCTATTATTCAATCAATCACACTTTTCTTCTAATTCATCTTTATTTTCATTCTTTAAACAACCCCAAAGTGAATTTATGGTCGTCCATAGCCTTTTAACTAAAAAGACCATATTGTCCTTTACTATCTGCATCACCAAACTTTTCTTTCTACATGTTATCCATTTGATATTTATCTCAAGTGTGTACTGTGTGTTGGTCTTCTTGTTAGACAATTTTCGTGGACAAGACCATACTCGTGTTGTTTTATTTTAGGTCTAAGAGGGTGTTGACGTCCAAATTTCAAGTCTCGTGTTCATCCGTAACTTGAATTCGAATTCAAATGATTTTTATTTTTTTAGAAAATATAATTTTGACTAGGGGGGTTTTTGTGTCATTACACAAAAATGACTTGAACCTATTTTAACATATCTACTAGATTTGGACGGTAGTCTACGTGCTGTGTTGGTAACTGTGGTATTTTAGCATCTAAGGCTTTGACGTCGTCGTTGAGAGCCTCGGAAGTGGACAAACGAGTGGC